TCCCCTGAGGCACAGCACAACAACGCACATCCACATGTCGTACACGACAGCCACCCGGCCCCAGGGTAGTGGAGATGATGTAAATCCGGCCCGCTTAAGAAAACCCCCATAAATACCCAAAATAGACGCAATGGATGCCCCAGTATTTACATTTTAACAACAATATTATTTACACGTGACAACAACAACAACAAAATTTCCTGCTCTTGCCCAACAGCAATCCTCCCTTGAGGACCAGCACAGACATCGCACGTACACAGCATGTACCCACGGTCACTCTCAACAAACCAACAAAACGCCTAATCGCACACCCTCGCGTGGAGAGAGCCACGCTCCCCAGCGGTGACGTTTAACTCGCCGTAACCCTCACCGTGGTCGTCAACCCACAGCAACATCCATTTACCATACTCTCGGCTAGTGCAATTTCGGGGATGAGCAGCAACTCGGCCATGCTCCTCCCTTACTATCCCATCAGAGATGGACACACACCAGCCTCGTATAGTCTGATGCTTTATAGCCCAGGGAAGGTTCATCCCCCGGCAATGCCAGACCCCATGGACTCCCCCCACGGGGCAATGTTCTCTTATAGAGACAATAACACCCTAACCCAGATCCCGTGAGCCCCCGGCACACCAGGTTCAGTCTGCCACCGCACAACTGAACCATGACTCCCCGAGCCATATGAGCACATGGCCCATTAGTTTAAGACATACCACGGAGGTTTCGCCTCCGGGCTGTCAGGTCAGCCATCAGCCATAGGCCGATGTGACCACAACTCATGCATCACCCAATCAACAATGGCAGGCATAACAGATGGAATATTTGCCCCACCGGGGTTTTTCCCACGCGCTCAAAATGGCGGCCCCCTTCGCCCAGCGCGTTCGCGCAATAACTCACGCGCACTCAAAATGGCGGCCCTTTCCGCAAAGCGCATCGTCGCCATACCCCGCGTGCGCGCAAAATGGCGGCCCAACGTGCGAACACGTGGCCAGTTTTCTCCATTCGTGCACCCCAGCTTCCCTTTGCTGGGGGTCACAAAATGCATCCCCCGTCTTATTGTAACAACCCCAACAACGATAGACGCACAGCCCCAGCTTGCTGCGCGCAGCAGTCATATCGGGGAATTTTTAACCAATATTTTACCAACCACATTGATTACACAACCCAACTCGCAAAGCAACTCGTGGCTGCATGCGATCAACCGAATACGCGACGCCACTTGGCGCCCATTTACGATCCCATTAGCATTAACATCTGAGCCACCCACAACGGCGTCATCGCGCACCCTCATTTTCAAAAAGCTCAATTACCCCTATAATATACACGCAATCTCGTGTGCACAACACCCATACAACCAAATTTTTGGGTCCCCCTCTATAATATACACGCAATCTCGTGTGCACAACACCCATACAACCAAATTTTACGGTCCCCCTCTATAATATACACGCAATCTCGTGTGCACAACAACCATACAACCAAATTTTTGGGTTCCCCTCGAATTTGTTACCAATTTCCAAACAGGTACGCACAATTAATAACAATCCCAAACCCCAATAGTCAACCAATGCATTGCACCCCATAACCGTACAGAACAGTGTAACAGCACATACAGTCAGCATATCGCGATCACACGCGTACATTTAAGCACAATAGCAAGCAGATCTGCAGGCAACCAACACATCATTAATCCTGTCGTAACTTTGCAGCAACAACACAAACATTCTCTCTCTTGCAACAACCACATCGCACATAGCACCTCGCAGCACAATACACCAAAAAAAATATATTTTTTTTTCAATTAAGCCCATCGCACAAGGTAACCCACGAGATAATACAGCGCAAGATACCCGACGCTCCCGAGTTAATAATTAACTTCGCCATCAAGATAACAACTCCACGCCGCAGCGCACACACACAATTTGACACTCAGCAAGTACAGCAGACTCTCCGTCCATTCTCAACACACGCACACACTTATATTGACACCGAGCAACAAGCAGATAGCGCGTTCATCGTTATTACACACACATACACACAGTCCGAACCGCGCTCCGCACAATCGAGTCATGAGAGAAAAAAACAAAATCGCCCCCCGGCCCTCGAAAGATGGGTGAGGTGTGTGTTAAGGCCGGGTGCGTATCGTTACGACTCGCCCGGGGCTGCAGCAAGAAGAGGACGGCAGGGTGGCAACTTGAGACGCCTCGCAGAACTCGTTCGGCGACTTGACTGCTCCGTTGTCACGCACCCGAGCCAGGACGGGAAGCTCCCGCCCCAGCAGCTGCAGCATCGTCGTCCTCTCCTCGCAGCTCGTCCTCGCGCAGCAGCTCACTGCAGGCTGCTCTCCCCGAGGCACCTCCAGATGGCAGCGCAAAGCTGCGTCACCGCCGCGATGTTGAATGGCGGCGTCTCCCCGCCGCGGTGAAGACAAGATGGCGGCTTCCCGCCTTTTCTCCCCTGCCACGCCCAAGATGGCGTCTTCGTGCCACGTGGCAGATGGCGCTGGCAGCGCAGGAAAGGCGGAGGCCTGCGGATCACCACCGGGCCTCCCCGACGCCGTCCTCGGCGTGGTGAACTCACACAGTTGCGCCAGCACGATTTTCAAGGTCTCCATCTGCGCCGCCATCTGTCTCCATCGTAAGTTGGCGTCCTCCGGCACAGACAGGTCCACCAACGCGGCGACACCTTGCTCACCCGGACCCGTACTCGTTCCAGCACGGATCTCCTCTTCCATCGCAGGCAGGTCCACCGTCTGAGGAAGGTCGTCGTCGTCTGATGATGTAGCAGATGATGGCGCAGGAATATTCTTTTTTTTCTCTTCTCTCAGTTGTTTTGAGATGCCGTTTCACTTCTGACACCAGTGTAATAAAGGACTCGACCCTGGTTCTGTCTCCGTGTCCTTTATTTGGGTTCGCGTTCTCCTTCCCTCACGGCACTCCTCCTGAGACTCTCTGCCTGGCAGCTCCACAGCTGCCTTCGCTCCCGTAGCCTTCCGCGCTCCTGCAGCTCCGCTGCAGGCTCTTGGTGCAGCCCTCTGGCTGCTCTCACAGCAGCTCCACCGCTGCTCCCTGTTCCTCCGTGCTCGGTCACCGCTGGCCGGCGGTGCCGAGTCTTACCGTGTGTGGCGATCTCGCCACTCCCCAACCTCAGCCCTCCATGGCCTCTGTGGCTATCTCGCCATCTCCAATCTCAGCCCTGCGTGGCCTCTGTGGCTATCTCGCCATCTCCAACCTCAGCTCTATCCCCGACTCTCTTCCACCCCGCTGGCTGGCGCCGTCATGAGCCCCTCAGCCACCAGGCTGAGGCACGGCGACCACCCAACGTGTTCACCACCCTTCACTCCCCCGACTGACCCAGATGGCTTCCTGTCTCCCCACTATAACTTCTCCCCCACGTGACCCTGACTCCTCCCTCTCGGATCGTCATATCCGCCCCGCCCATTTATGCCCGCATTACACCGGTAACAAGCTGAGATTAGGAGCACTCCCTTTAAGAGTGTGCTCCTAATCTCAGCTCGTTACTTGTATAAAAGACACCTGGGAGCCAGAAATCGGTCTGATTGAGAGGGGGTCAAATACTTATTTCCCTCATTAAAATGCAAATCAATTTATAACATTTTTCTGTCTCTCACTGTTCAAATAAACCTACCATTAAAATTGTAGACTGATCATTTCTTTGTCAGTGGGCAAACGTACAAAATCAGCAGGGGATCAAATACTTTTTTCCCTCACTGTATGGACGACTGTAAAGTGCGTGCGCTTCTGACATTTGTCTCCAACAACGTGGGAAAAAACGCATCCACATGCAGTGGATTGGCGCCGATGCTAATGAACTGCTGTTGCTGATCAGCCTTTGCTACAGCTGCTGATACTGATGCTGAGATGATGATGTTGATTATTACGCTGCTATTCATGAAAGTCTGATGTTGCTGCTGGTATTTTCTGTTGTTGGTGATTATTAAGCACTACCCCAATACGTCATTTCTCAATACAATACCGACGAGCATTCCATTGTAATCGTAATATCTGGGATGTTAGGTAGAATCCCCCCCCACCCTAGCATTTTCCTGCCTACGCAGCTCCTCCGCTCCCTGTGTAAACAATGGAATTTTTTACGCTTATCAACACAGAAGTGTACTCCCAGAGACTCTCACTGCCGTGACCCTGTGAGTCTCACGCGGAGAAGGGTTCGACTCCACGGAAGAGTTTAAAATTCTATTGTTGTTTAATGACGTGAGAACTGGAGACGGCAGCGATAGTCTCATTGTGACACGAACACGCGGACCGTGGGAGCTACTGGTGATAAAGGATATGCGCGTGCACATGACCCACAGAGAGCCATCGCCAGGCGTACAAATCGCACAGCGCATGCGACTGATTGATTGATCGGCGGCATCCACGCCTATGACAGCCCAACCGGGTCCCGCGTGATGCCGTTGCTTCTCAGTTGAAGTAAGAGGAAACACTAGAAAGGTGCAGCTCGGCAAGTGCTTGCAGGAAGGGCGTCCATGATAAGTAGCTCTACAGTCGAGAGGGTGTTCTATTCCAAGCTGTGTTGGATGACGTGGGTGTAACCACATTTTACCCCCACATTCAGTCCATCTGCCAATATTGGGGGCCCATCCATACTGCGGCTGCTGGTAGGACATGCCCCATTATTTCAGCTGCAGCCTCGCTGGGAGACCCAATCGAAGCACTCGCTACCTCTGGATTGCAAGTCCAGCGTGATAACCATTATTACAACCATCGTCAATAAGTGGCGGTGACGTCACCACGACGCTTGTGCCAGGCTAGGTGTACCTTGAAGCCACGTGAAGTATCGAAGGCTTCCTTGCAGGTCTCGGGACAGACTCAGGTGCCATAGATTGACTGACTGAGGTGACTAGCCGATGCACCGCCTTTGCTCCCTCCTGTTCCAACGTGCTGAGTTTTAGTCGCTGAGCCATGCGCCGCCTATAATCGGGGAATCCCCGTGCCTCCGCATCGCGTCACTGGCTTAAATCTCACTGCAGCAACCGCACACACGCAGACACAGCAAAGCAGCCGCCCTGTGCTTGTGTACTGACATGGAGGTGGTCATCGCGGTGAGCGTGGCCATGCTAATCGCCCGGGCTTCGGGCTGCAGCGACTGCACGGAGACGTCCGCGGGGTCGCTCGGGGTAAGTGCGGAGAGCGGAGAGCGCGGCACCCCTCGGGCCAGGCAGCGACAGTGGGCGGTGGCTTCGCCTGTTTGTAGGAGCGCCTTTGTCGCGTTTTTGTTGTTGTAGACGGTTTTACGGTGTGAATCCGGTGGCAGCCTTGGTTAATGCCGAGGCCGTGTTAACCGTAACCTATTGCGCAGTCTTCTTCACAGCGGACGTTAAAATATCTGGTGACGTCGTTGAAAAAAGTAGAGCCATCGTGTGCCGGTGGCAAGGCACAAATTTGGCAAATCTTAAAAATGACACCAGAAATTACTCAAATTGGAATGAACCTCCTGCAAAAATAGTCTCGAGACTCAGGCTTTCCTTCGTCGACAAGCCATATATATTTTAAAAAACATAATCTCATGAGGGACGTGCTGTCAGCGAGCACGTATTTACGTCCTGAATCTTAACTCGTCGACTTAGGGAAGGTCCGGGACATGTTTTACACCTCTTGGTGTTTTCCGTCGCTAGGAATCGAACCCGGGAAGCCAACGTCTTAGTACAGAGCCCTCCGCTTACGAAAGGCCAATTGCTCAATTACCTTTGGGCGTCGATGTCGCTGATCGTGATCAATCGTCATCGCTTGCAAGACCAATGAAATGGGCATCGCTTTGTGGGAAGCTAACAATGCTCATCAAGTGTCGAGACAGGAACCACCCTCAAATGAAATCGGAATTTCCACCACTTTGCTCAGGGCCACCAGTGGACCGGAGCACCACACTCGTTCCACTTTGGTCACGGTGTGGGGCCAGGGTGGACTCCTGCTGCTAAGGGAAAGGGTGGACTCCTGCTGCTAGGGGCCAGGGTAGACTCCTGCTGCTATGGGAAAGGGTGGACTCCTGCTGCTAGGGGCAAGGGTGGACTCCTGCTGCTAGGGGCCAGGGTAGACTCCTGCTGCTAGGGGAAAGGGTGGACTCCTGCTGCTAGGGGAAAGGGTGGACTCCTGCTGCTAGGGGCAAGGGTGGACTCCCGCTGCTAGGGGCCAGGGTAGACTCCTGCTGCTAGGGGAAAGGGTGGACTCCTGCTGCTAAGGGCAAGGGTGGACTCCTGCTGCTAGGGGCCAGGGTAGACTCCTGCTGCTAGGGGAAAGGGTGGATTCCTGCTGCTAGGGGCAAGGGTGGACTCCTGCTGCTAGGGGCCAGGGTAGACTCCTGCTGCTAGGGGCAAGGGTGGACTCCTGCTGCTAGGGGAAAGGGTGAACTCCTGCTGCTAGGGGCAAGGGTGGACTCCCGCTGCTAGGGGCAAGGGTGGACTCCTGCTGCTAGGGGCCAGGGTAGACTCCTGCTGCTAGGGGCCAGGGTAGACTCCTGCTGCTAGGGGCAAGGGTGGACTCCCGCTGCTAGGGGCAAGGGTGGACTCCTGCTGCTAGGGGCCAGGGTAGACTCCTGCTGCTAGGGGAAAGGGTGGACTCTTGCTGCTAGGGGCAAGGGTGGACTCCTGCTGCTAGGGGCCAGGGTAGACTCCTGCTGCTAGGGGAAAGGGTGGACTCCTGCTGCTAGGGGAAAGGGTGGACTCCTGCTGCTAGGGGCAAGGGTGGACTCCTGCTGCTGGGGGCCAGGGTAGACTTCTGCTGCTAGGGGCAAGGGTGGACTCCTGCTGCTAGTGGCCAGGGTAGACTCCTGTTGCTAGGGGAAAGGGTGGACTATTGCTGCTAGGGGCAAGGGTGGACTCCTGCTGCTAGGGGCAAGGGTGGACTCCTGCTGCTAGGGGCAAGGGTGGACTCCTGCTGCTAGGGGCAAGGGTGGACTATTGCTGCTAGGGGCAAGGGTGGACTCCTGCTGCTAGGGGAAAGGGTGGACTCCTGCTGCTAGGGGCAAGGGTGGACTCCCGCTGCTAGGGACCAGGGTAGACTCCTGCTGCCAGTCTTGTATGTCCACCACTGTTGAAACAAGAGTGCAGACAGCAACCACTGCTGGTGCGTACCTCACATAGTCATTGTTTGTGGTCACATTTTCCTAATTTTTTGTCAAGAAATATTTTAGTTGCATGCTTACACTCAATGTGCACGTCTGTGAGTTGCACCGAGTACAGCTCTTGAGAACTCTAACCCTGTTTTTCTCACCGTGCTGATATTGTATTAACTCAGTTTTTAATCAAATAATCAACGTGGTTGTATGGTATTTGAGACTAATATGTATTACTAAGTTTAAAAATACATTTCTAATACGTCTTTACTGTAATATTAACACAAATATTCAACATATGTCATTAGTGTGCATGTTGTACACATCATCTTCAAAATCGCGACCTCCGAGATCTGCCGTATAATAGCATCCCGCTGTGCTCCTCGGTATTCCCCTTGGTCGCCGGATTCATAGAGACCATGCCAACGCCTGTATCGGCAATCGGCCAACCCCATATCTACACATATACGTTGCAACCATTGCAACAATTTTGACCTAACTGTATCTATAACACTCACCTGCCATGTTCTTTTACCGACGTCTGCATTGTTTCTCCCGTCTTGCCGCTAAATCTCCAATATCAGTCTCAGTCACTGTGCTCAAATGGCAGCAACTTCATGTGGATCAGCTTAGAGCACCGCTGCCACATATGCCCATTTTATTGGCTTATGTAGAGCAACTATCAGAGATTCAGTTGTCAGTGATTCAGCCATGTCATCTCTTTGTCTCAAAGTTGATGGATTGCAGATGCACCTAACCATCGCCTTCACGTGTATATTTGGAAAAGTGCGAAGTCACATGGTCCATGCTTTGCCGTTTGTAGCTGCAATCGCACAGAGGAGGGAGTCTCTGATTTTCTACTTGTGTATGAGGAGTCATCTACTCATAGTCTGTAAGCCAGGCGAATCTCTCTCCCTGGCCGCCATCATTGCGTATCGTATCTCCCAGCGTCAGTGACTGCCCAATTCCAGTAAAAACGTTGGAGTTCAGCAATGTTGGCGGTAGCAGGGTAACTGGGTGTCTCAGAGGTCAGAGCGCTGAGCTGACAACACTGAGAATGTGAGTTATAATCCAGGCAGCCGCCTATATTTAAAGCGGGTTGTCAAATGTAGCTACCGAGTTAATGGTCTCAGCCTGGTTACCAGTGAATGTACACACTACCATTATGTTACATCTGATTTAGCACGTTGGCTATATTCCAACTCTGAGAATTCTATCTATCAAGTTGACTGCCATGCAAAAATCAATACTCTCTTTAGCATAGAAAGGTGGTGGGGAAAGTACTGCCCCAAGCCGTGTTACAGAGGTCACTTGAAGGGATCTCAGAAGTAGTTGTGATATCCGCTCGTGCGCGCTATTTCTTGTATTGTTCTGCGAGAGTTCCGAATGTATATCATGACACACAAGCAGGATAACAATGGGGTAATTGTGGTAAGACTGGCCTCTGATCATTTCTGTGGTAGAGTCGAAGCCTCACCCGCTACTGCTATTTCTTCATGACATAAACAGCAGGAGATATGAATGAAGATGAGAGAGTTGCACTCATAACAGATAGTGGAGAGACAGGTGGGCAATGTATTCATACCAGAGAAGAGACAGGATGTCGATGCTATGCCAAGAGATCAATTGGAGAGATTAAAGAGTTGTGGACGGTGTTTATTATTTTACAGGTTTGTGTCCAATCGGGGACGGCTGCTCCGATTTTCTCTTTCCGTGAACTTCTATTTTGTACCTCTTCTATTGTCACATCCGCCGTCCTCACATCTCATTCTACCGCATCCTGCCCCCCCCCCCCCCCACTCGGTCTCCCTCTGCTTCTTCTGCTCTCCACCTGTGGTATCTCCATGGCCCCTCTCATTGCATCTCCTTTTTGTTGCTTCTCGATGCATGACCAAACGATCGCAGCGCTGTCATGACCAATCGGTAGTGCATTTTCCGCTTGTTGCCGAGGTTCGTGGTTAGTTATTAGCAGGTTGCCACGGTTAGTTCCAAGGATGGATTAGCCGTGAGAAAATGCGCCGTTTGTTTCATTGTTATCCCTACAGATCCTGTGTTGTTATACGCAGAAAAGAATTCCATAGTGTGTGGGTTCAATTGTAAATTTTTAGTTATTTCGCAAAAGTTACTGTATTGGGAAAACACCCTCCTGAAAAAGATTTTGGTAAACACTCGTAATCTAAGTCTTGCCTCCCTTACCTTCTCGGAAATATTAGTAATTCCTTCTAAAGCTTGAACTTCTTAAATACGTGTCTGCTTTAGAGATTGTTGAAACCTCCATCTGACTGTACAGAGGGATAGTTTCTTTCACAAATCTGTCGTTTCGAGAACCTGAATGGGTTTCAGAGGAAGATAACCCTGTGACGGTGAATGGGAAATGAAACAATAGGGGGATGTGTTTCCGATAAGTGAAGAGGAACTGCACAAACGGCTCATTTTGCAAGGCGCAAAAGGAGCAGCAACACTTTCACTTTGAGCGCTCTCCATGCAAGAGGTGCTCAACGTGACTTCACGCGTGGCCAGCAAGCAGTCGCAGAAGCTTGGCCAAGTCAAAGTCTTTGCCTGCTGAAGCGGGCACTGGGGCCGGTGTAATAGTGGTGAAAATTCTAATTTATATGGCAAGGCCCAATCTGCTCATAGTTCAAGTTTCCGGTTGATTTTGTGTAACCCGGTGGTGAGAACTGACGAGAGCCAGGATAGAGTCTGAATTACACCAGTGACCATCTGGGTCACCAAAATAACAAAAGCAATTACACAAAAGTACACCAATACTATAGAGTACACATAATTTTGAACAAAAACAATTGTCTTGTAAAATAAATAAATGTACTGCATAAACACATAAACAGATGTAAAATGTAATACATTTCCTGGAACAAAAGTCGGCTGAGACAAAATCACCATAGGTTGACCACGGTTGACTTTTTCACAAAACGGTGCTTATTGTATTCACCCCAGAGGAATGGTCAGCTGAGTCAACTCGTGACTGCGATTGGAACTCACATCCTTTATGATTGCGAGTCGAGCGCTCGCATCGTCTACATCGGTGCGGCGTGGATGACGGTGCACAGAACACGATGCCGCGAGGGTTTATATTGCACCTCCTCGTCGTCACTGCAAAAAAGCACGCAAAGTTGGGCTCGGGGTAAATCTCAGCTAAAGAAGTGGTCATGTGCAAAAGGTTCGCTAAGCACTTGGAGATGTCTGTTGGAGGAACGTATGTATTTATGGATGTATGTTGAACTTCTTTCGCACCGTACGTAGCCAACTGTGCAAATCAGAGGTGCGGGGAAAGATGAAAAAACAAGCAGAAAACCGAATATGTGTAGCTTGGATCGAGGGTAGCCATTGAAGGTCGAGAAGACGACCTCGAACTCGTGACCTAGACCTAAGAAGCGTGACTTAGATCTCAAAACCCAAGTGGATTTCCGTGAATGGCACATCGCCTCCTCACTTAGCGAGCGATCGTCCCTTGCGCAGTGACTGCCTGTACAGTTACTGGTGAGTGGTAAGTGAGTTAGGGGAGCCTCTAGTGAGGGTCAGGTGATTTGTTAGTTTGAGTGGGTCAGGTGAGTGATAAATGAAGTGAGTGGTGAGTGAGGGGCAGGTGACTGTCAGGTGTTTTATTGGTGAATGTCTGGTGAGTGTAAATTGTGAAATTATTGACCTTTTTTTTATTAGACCCCATGTATGGGATGGGCTGCCCTCTAGCTTTAAACATGAACACTCTATCTTATTGGTTCTTTCGGTAAAGTCACGTAAAAGGGAAATAATAAAATAATAAAAATAAAACATAAGAAATGTATTCTTATTTTATTATTTCCCTTCTACGTGACTTTACCGAAAGAACCAAGAAGATGAATCCCTGCAGTCACGAAAGTTTAAATCGAAAAATGAACACTCTAGCGCGTGTCCTTTCAATGGTTATACACATTTGTGTGGGCTTGTGTGTGTGGTAGAATTACATTTTACTGTTTTTATCTGAACTGATCTTGGGCCTTCCCTAAGTCTTCCCCTTAAACTGGTGTGGTGTGTAAACATCAGCTATGGGGAGACAGTGGCGTGAGTATGGCTACCCACCTCTTTGTATGCTTTGCCAGCCTTAATAGGTGCTCCCTAACAGTACTTGTCCTAACCGTCTGTTAAAGACTGTAATCTTTGTGTCAATTTGTGTTTTTGTGTTTCTATCTGAAGAGGCCCAAGAGAGACAATGCTGCCTGCCGTGACAGCCAATACCTGCACCAGGGCCGATGCTGTGAGCAGTGTCCGACCGGTACGAGTCCGTCATGCGGAGTCGTGGGTGGTGACTGGCATGGAAAACTGGACCTTAACAAATGCTGCCCATTACCAATGGTCAACCCGGTTTTTATCGTGTCGGGAGTTGGGGGTCTCAGCCAGGTCACCAGTGCCTGCACACACATCTTGTTACACTCGTTATTTCGGTTAACTCAGTTTTGTCCAAATTTGCCATGCACAAACTCTCTTTCCCCATAATGTTCAATAATGGTATTCTCATCATTTTTCTAAGGTCGATAAAATTGGGACCACTTCTTGGAAGTTGACTATGGTTGTCACGTCGACACTGAGCTCTGCCATGGTAATGTGTAAAGTCCAGCACTGTCTCAGTGCTGCCAATGCACATGGCGATTCTCCCATGTCTGTTTGAACACGGAGACATTTTACTTTGTTATGAGGGCTTTTCATACAGTATTTGCCAATCATCAGGTGCAAGCAAGGTTAATTTATTACCATTAAGTAAGGCCCACAGAGCTGTATAGCTCTTTTTCAGAAGTGACCTGGTCACAAATGAAAGCTCAACGGAGTGGCTTATCATGTGGAATTTATAGCAGCCAAATCTAAACGGATTTTTCTAAACGTGGAGGGGAAAACCTGAGGACCCAGACAATAATCTATATGACCACGGGGAGAGAGACATGCAAACTACAAATATACAGGCGTCAAGGCCAGGATCGAACTCACGACCTCCTATGTACCAGGCGAGGTAGTTAACATCTCGCCACCGCGACAACATAAAACAACACATGGGTAATAGAGTACAGACTGCAGACATGTTTATATCATCCTCATCATCATCTTCAGTCACCATCCGTCCACTGCTGAATGTAGAAGTCCTTGCGCTGTCATCTTACCCCCTGCTCCTTCAGTGCCACAGGCCATCTCACTGCTGACCATGGATGACCTCGTTGCTATATCTCCATGGTGGTGGTCTTCCCAAAGTCAACCTCTCCATTGGCTATGTTGTATATATTGTTTTGAAGCTTTCGTGACTGCAGGAATCAATACTCTTTGGTTCTTTCGGTAAAGTCACGTAGTAAAATACCGAAATAACCAAAGAGTATTTCGATTTAAAGCTTTTGTGACTGCAGGGATTCATCTTCTTGGTTCTTTGGTAAAGTCACGTAGAATGGAAATAATAAAATAGACTCTATACCATAGAGCCCAATGCATCTCCGACCAGGAACACATTGCCAGTGAACTCAAACACGTACGCCAAGCTCTTAAGGCTAATGGTTACTCCGACTACACAATCCGACTACACGATGGCGGCACACATCGCGTCTCAGTGAAGCCAGACGCAGTTGTCCATCGTGGGACTTTGAGAAGCATTGTCTGTAAGTTTGTTTATATTCTTATAATATTGGCAATGCTGTCGTAATGTTGGAATGACCGTTATAGTGATGTAAATGCCTTTATGGTGCCGTTAAGTTGTTGTGGTAAATACGAGGCCTAGTTAGCAACGAAGCCTGCAACTTTCCTTATTGTGGATGTTACTTGTGATTTAGTAGGTCGAGTCAGACTTGTGCCCAGGTGGCTATGTTGCGATCCTGAGAGCAAAGATGATGAAGTATCTCATCCACAGTTTAGTGTTATGTGTAATGCTGTACATTTTGGGTGCAGTGGGATGAATACACGATGTGCCTTTATGCAACGCACCGGCTTGCGCTCTTGTGTAGTTGTTCAGTGGTAATGTAGGGGCCTGGTCCGTCCAGGATCTATTGTTATCTAAGACAATGTTCTGATGCTGTGGTGTTCATTGTGTTGCTGTTTCCGGGTTATAACAGATGCTGTATCTGTGTTTTCTCACCAGTTTTACCTTGTTAAAATCAATAAATGACTATTGGAGTCGGACGTTCATCCTGGCTCCGAGGGTTTATTGCATGCAAGGTTATCTACTCGACTAGCGGTGCAACGCAGCATACAGCGAGGCCGAGATATTAGCTGATCCCAGTATTATATGAAAATGTCTTCGCACACTTCTTAGCTTCTCACAACTCTTAAAGCTTAGTACAGTACAAGTTCTCGCAGTCCTTGACTCTGCAAGAGACTCTATCTCGGCCTTGCTGTGCGCTGCGTTGCACCGCTAGTCGAGTAGATAATCTTGCGTTCAATAAACCCTCGGAGCCAGGATGAACGTCCAACTCCAATCGTCATTTATTGATTGCAACAAGGTAAAACTGGTGAGAAAACACAGATACAGCATCTGTTATAATCCGGAAACACCAACACAATGAACACCACAGCATCAGAACATTGCCTTAGATAACAATAGATCCTGGACGGACCAGGCCCCTACGTTACCACTGAACAGCTAGACAAGAGCACAAGCCGATGCGTTGCATACAGGCACATCGTGTATTCATCCCACTGCACCCCAAATGTACAGCATTACACATAACACTAAACTGTGGATGAGATACTTCGTCATCTTTACTCTCAGGATCGCAACATAGGCACAAGTCTGACTCGACCTACTAAATCACAAGTAACATCCACAATAAGGAAAGTAGCAGGCTTCGTTACTAACTAGGCCTCGTATTTACTACAACAACTTAACGGCACCATAAAGGCATTTACATCACTATAACGGTCATTCCAACATTACAACAGCATTGCCAATATTATAGGAATATAAACAACTTACAGAAAATGCTTCTTAAGCTCCCACAATGGACAAGTGCGGCTGTGGTCTCACTGATATGCGATGCGTGCCGCCATCTTGAATTATCAGTAAGATGGCAGAAGCCCGCGTGGTTCACTGAAAATCTAACATCGTCACTTCCTGGTCACGTGACCAAAATTAGCATAAAAAAACAGGAACTTCCTGTGAACGTACGCTCCACATCTGCCTTGAGGCAAGACAGACTCAAAACATGAGGGAAACCCTAGAATACAACTTTCAGCAATACTCAGAGTCTGTCGGCGCAGAACTCAACACTTAGCAACACACAGCCCTTTGCCTCTGCAAGACTCGACACTTATGGTTGATTCCGAGGACCATACCCCGGAGTAAGACTCTTGACACTTGTCTGGTTACGGGCGCCTCCCGGAGTTTGCCGTTGCAAGACTTACCGTAGTTTGTGTGGATTTGGCTTCGTCGTTATTTCCGATATTTCCTCCGCCTCTTGCATCCTTCTCACAAAGGCTTGGATTTTCATTTGATTTTGCTCCTTGGCGTGTCTTCACCGCCGCCGTGTCTGGTTCACGTGAGCAGCGTTTGCAGCACTCCTGTCGCGGTTGGAACTCTCGCATGGGACTTGATTCCCTGCTACCACGTGCTATGTTAGCTACTGGGAAGACAAAGGCGCTTGGTCAGGCTCTGGTTATGCCCCTGGAATGCATACTATTTGGTCCATGGAGGATTGACATAGTTCGTATTGTATATCTTCTGAATGATCTGAGGTATAATACTCCCATAATTGTTATTCGGTTTATGCTTAACCAAGATTTGTGGCACGTATGTATAGATGGTGGGTGTTAATAAACATACAACTAGTCGTATTCAAAACCTCCTGAGCTACATCATCATCTTCTTCTTGGTTCTTTCGGTAAAGTCACGTAGAAGGGAAATAATAAAATAATTAAAATAAAACTAAATAAAATAAAAATTCTCACGACGTTTCGGCCACAACACAAGCAGCCGTCCTCAGGTGAAGAAACAGAGCTATCGGAAAGACAGCGTCCCAATGAACACCGCCAGGCTTGACAGCGTATATTTAAGCTGGGTCGGGGGGAGGAGAGCGCCTTGACAAAGGAGTTTACATATCAACACCGGAATTAAGCATATTGATGACAGCAGCAGAGGTTAGTGTAAATGCGATTGGTATTACCTTAGAGTCACCGGCATCTCTTCAGAAAGATGAGAGACTCGATTAGCTGAGCCTTCTTATCCCGGAGTTTGTTGAAGGATCTCAAAGTTATGTGAAATCCTTCCCCATAGAGGTGGTTAAATTTCGATTTAAAGCTTTCGTGACTGCAGGGATTAATCTTCTTGGTTCTTTCGGTAAAGTCACGTAGAAGGGAAATAAAAAAAATACAAATAAAACATAATAAAATACAATTCTCACAGTGAGAATTGTATTTTATTATGTTTTATTTAGAACCAAGAAGAAGGTGGTGGTCAATCCAACTTTACAACTTTCCTAAGCCAAGCTTGTGTGGGGGCGAGGCAGCGGGGGTGGGGGTGCTCCTTTGGCCTTTGTTTTCTCCAGGCAGGAGTTCACAGGCCTCAGTTACTGCGTTTTTTTTAGAACTTGCTAAATCCAGATATACGAAAAATAAAGAACTATTACATTTAAATAGACAATATCACTCTTAATACTGGTAGGAACCTCCTGGTTACACCAGCCCACAGGGGATTATTGTGTCCGTCCGTCGTGCATCCAAAAATGGGAGGGATGGGGCTGGGTGGAGAGGGGAAGGTGGGGAGGGGCTGGGTGGGGTAAGGGTGGGGAGGGGCTGGGTGGGGGGGTAGGGCTGGGTGGGGTGGGGCTGGGTGGGGGGTGGGGTGGGGCTGGGTGGATAGGGGCTGGTCACCCCGTGGTGCCCTTATAAAACTCAACGTTTAACCTACTCACGCCGGCTTGTGCCCGCCCTCACAGTCAGGCATATTTGCGGAATACACCACGCCGCCGTTGACCCTGGCCATTGACCGAACAACCCAACGTTCCTACCAGCTCCCTCCACAGGAATGTGTTAGATACTGTATTTTTGGAAAAGGCATATATATGAAATATCTTCAATAATGGCGGGAGACGAGTTGACGGGGCAGCACTCTTTATTCACAGCGGTTGCACACGTAACAGTCCCAACCGAGATAACACCTATGTCACACGTGCCTGACTCGGCCACGCACTCCGTCTTCCCCGTGGGGTACGCGCACCTAACTCTGCCTCGACTCAGGCTCTCCGGCTACGCTCTCCCCACGGGGGAACTATCAGACCCCTACGCGTACTCGGCTCGGGCCGCTCTCAGTCTCTCCCGTAGGGTACGCGTGCCTATCCCTGCCTCGACTCAGGCTCTCCGGCTACGCTCTCCCCACGGGGAACTATCAGACCCCTCTTGCCAGACCACGGGTCTCGACCACTGGGCTACACAGCCCGAGCCCTTACAAGGGCGTCGGACCGTGAATCCCAAGGCCTCGCCTCTGAGCCTCACAGAACCCCGGCCCTTACAAGGGCAGCGGGGCTAGGGGTCCCAGGGCCTATCTCTTCCTCCGTCTTCTGTCTTCACCGGTTACCCACTCCCCGAGTGCCCGCGCGCATCGCCTTACATAGCCCTCCGCTCCTGTGGGGGCGGAGCCTATGTGGACCGCGATGTGAGCACCCACCCGATGTAACCAATCACCACGCGCTGCCTCACGATCCCTCCTGCCAGCGCGTATCACCACTACATCACCCCCTCCCACATAGCTCGCAGCCGGCCCGGCTGCCAAAAAAAAAACCCCACTCCACATGTGCGCCCCGTAACATGAACACAACGTAACACAACACATCGCAACACAACACAACACCCGCGAACATCAATCAGTAATAACAAGGAACCTATGTACAAACCGACGAGTAACACAATAAAACATTTTTATAAGACCGACGTGTCCAGAGTCTCCTTGACCCCCTGGTCCTTCCCCCCCGCTCGCCCCTTGAACGGAACAATAGAGCGGTCGGACAGGGAACGCTGTGACGAGACGATCCGGCCGAACCGTCCCTCACCCCCCCTCATTTATTCAGTCATGAAAAGTGGCGCGACCTAGCGCGAGTCCGCCTGGCCGGTCCGTCGTACGGGACGGGACGTTGTCGATCGTCCGGTGGCTCCGGCAGCCCCGGGAGGCATGGAGCCGGCCTGGAAGAGCCGCCCGTGACTTGGGGATCCGGTCGCCGCCGGTCGACAGCCGTCAGTTCCGAGACACCTGGGAGCGGATCAGGCGGAGACATTTCCCTCCCCGAGTCGCCGGTCACATCACATGCTCGGTCCTCATGACATAAAGGAAGGCCATATGGTGGCGAGAATGGTTTCAGCCGGGAGGGGTGAACGTACCAACGGCGCTTTCCCCATTTTATCTGAACACACTGGGGTCGTGCAACCCCCACGACCTCCACGGGTCCCCGCCACGGCCTCAGTAATTTAGGAGACGTAGCCAACGGCGCATGAGGGCAGTGCAGCCAGGCCCTATCGCCCGGTTTCCAATTGTGCACGTACACCTTCCGTGCACGCAAGCGCTCGTTAGCGATTTGGCGAGACCTTGAATTCAGCCGTGCAGCCTCCCGTGCCTCGGCCAGTTTTGCAATGTTAAATTTAATATAGTCGGACCGCGATGTGAGCACCCACCCGATGTAACCAATCACCACGCGCTGCCTCACGATCCCTCCTGCCAGCGCGTATCACCACTACATATACAACAGCTACCATTCCATTGGGAGTCTCATCTGTTGTGACCCACCCCAGCCCACATACCGCTCTGCCATCCCTGGACACTGCGTGACTGTTGTTGTTTGTTGTTGTTGTGCCAGGGTATTTTGTGGAGGCCCACTGCACTGCCTCTGCTCAAACACAATGCAAGTTGTGCCCCGAGGGCTTCTTCCTGGAAGTGGCGTCGGGGCGCGATGGCTGTTTGCGCTGTCAGCACTGTGACCCAGGTAGGAGCCGCAGTGCAAGTGGTGAACAGAAAGTGAAGAGCTACCCTGCTCAGGTTCTAATGATCGTGTTCATCTGGGTGGCACGGTGGGGCCCTGATAACACTTGCACCTTAGAGCAGGAAGGACCTGGGTTCGATTCCCAGCTGCATTCTGTGTGGAGTTTGTATGTTCTCCCGCTGTCCTGTTTGGGTTTCCTCTGGGTTATCCCAATGCTGAGTATTTGCGAATCCAATTGGGATTGCACACAGCAGTAACATCGCCTCCTGCGACAACTTGGCAGGACCCTCCTGAAAAAGAGTCTTGAGAATCAGGGAGGCTCTCTTTGGCAAACAAGCAGAATAATAAGAGTGGGCATGTGTGTGTGTGCGCGTACACCTGTGAACGTTTGTGTGTGTGCTGCTGGTGGGCAGCGGTGGCATGACGGTTATCGCTACGCTGCGCTTCGAACCCGACGACCCAGGTTCAATTCTCGCTCACGGCCGACACCAGTGGCGATTATCTTAACCCGTCCCGAGCCTCCCCTATGTCTACTCGGCCTCAAATGCGTACCTGGTGGGGTGTGTCAACATCACCACTGGGGAGACATGCTTGGGCGTGGTGATGGCCACCCACCCCCTCGTGTGCTTTGCAAGCCTTCGTAGGCGCTCATCGCTGACAGCACTTGCTCCTACAGTCTGTTAAGGCTATACGGGGGATATTTGTCTTTGTGTGCATGATGTGGTCTCAGTGGACGGCCTAGACGAGGCTGTCCACTGCTCCGCAACGTCGGACGCGCGCTGCCGCTGCCAGGTGGGGTCCTTCTGCTCCCACCCGAGCGGGAGCAGCTGCCTCCTGTGCCGCCACCACTCCTGGTGTGATGCCGGCACACAGCTGCTGCGCAACGGTGAGCTCTACTACAAAGCGCTTACCACCACCACTCAGCACTCACTACCACCACTTACCACCATAACACCACCACCCAGCGCTCATCACACCACCACCACCCAGCACTCACCACCGCTCAGCACTCACCACAACTACTCAGCACTCGCTACAACCACTCACCACAACCACTCACCACAACCACTCACCACAACCACTCACCACAACCACTCACCACACCTCAACCTCACCCATATAGCCTTAACAGACTTTGGGGCAAGTGCTGGTTGGGAGCTCCGGCACGGTTCACGAGGGGGTGGGTGGCCAGCGCCACGCCCGACCGCCTTTGTTTCCCAAGTGGTAATGTTTACACACCGCACCAAGTACTCACTTAAGACTGAGTCGACCTAAGGGAGGCACAGGACCGGTTCAGATAATCGTCAATGGTGCTGGTCATGAGTAGGAAACAAACTCAGATCGCTGGGGCATACTCTCCCTCCCCAATGTGCTGGGTAAGGTCCTGACAAGGGATATTTAACATTGGCTTCCCATGCACGCTGAGGAGAGGCTTGCAGAGCCCCAATGTGGTATCAGGCCGGAGCGGTCCACAAAGGTTGCAATATTTTCTGTCCGTCTGCTACAGCAAAGGTGTAGGGAACTTCAACTAGACGTTCATCTCTTTGGTTGTTATTCGTGCCTTTGTGGTGCCTGACTCTCTGTTCACAATCATTAAGGATCTTCATGATGGTGGGCATTCCTGGGTAAAGCTGCGTGACCAGAAGTCAGAGCCATTCCCTGTTCATCTTGCATCCGTGCAACATGGATACCCTCCATGTTGCATAATGGATGCCCTCTGGCTACTACATTATTTAACATCTTTTTCGACTACAGCGATACCTTGACTTTCATCCACTTGACTTTAGTCGCTTTGCTCTTTCGGACGTTTTCAATTATAACCACATTTCAAATTTCGTCCACGTGCTTTCCTCTTTCGTCTGATTTCATCCAACCTTCCACAACGTTCGCGCCACGCCCCATCTTCTTCGTTCAGTCTTTGAATAGAAGTCGTTCAGTGAACATCTCTTATATTTGTGTTTATTCATATATTATTAATACTTTACTTGTTTCTGTGATTATAGGTAAACAATTCAGTTATTTTTGTGATAACAGTATAATACTACAGTGTTTACTTACGCAAGAATGAACATATTTCAAGGTATAATTTTGTTTATTTATTTAGTATTGTTTCTTAATTTAATCTTGATTTGAAGCTTTCGTGACTGCAGGAATCCATACTGACAGCCCACCAGAGACGCACCGCCACGTGGCACCCGGAGCCCCACTCGCGCGTGGCCCCTCTCTCTCTTCGTTCCGTGTCTGACCACGTGTCTCTCCTCTCTCCCCTTATTTAACGCCTGGGTCACGTGGTACACTCCAGCCCATCCTCAATAGCCTGCGCCGAATGTTCCAGATTCCCCATCAACTCCCGGGACCACGCCCCTGACTTGTCTTCCCATTGGCTGAGGCCTAGACCAGCAGAACCAATCACCTAGCTGACATCCCGTGATCACGCCAAGGCCATGCTCCCAGGCTCTCCCCCTATTGGCTGTATAGCGGGACCGGCAAAGCCGATCACCACGTGAGTCCGACATAGGCTCTTATTACAGGTGTATGGAATTGATGTGGTTGAGAAATTGGTACAGTGCCAGCAGGCCATGTGGCCAGATGACGAACGTGTCATCTACGTATCTCTTCCACAAGGAAGGACGTCGGGTGGATGTCTGTATGGCATCTGTCTCAAATTTCTCCATGAAAACATTCGCTACCACTGGTTATAGGGGAGAGCCCATTGGGGTACCTTGATTCTGTTTGTAGAAAGTACCATTCCAGGTGAAGTAAGTGTTGGTAAGGAAGTACCTTACCAACGATGGTACCTCAGGATTCAGTCCCTGTTGGACCAAGTCTTCAATGATTGCAATAGTATCAGGTACGGGTACATTGGTGAAGAGGGAGACTACATTGAAACTGACACGCAAATCCTCCGGGGACAGTGATATGTCCTTGATTAGTGAAACCAAGTGGGCCGAATTAAGTACAGCTGAGGCAGTCTTGCCCGTGAAGGGAAGCAGTCTCAGTCAAAATTCGTACCAGTCTGTAAGTGGGTGGTTAATGGTGGAGACGATAGGATGGATTTTTGGAAGGCCGTAATTATTCTGTTAATTTTTCTTTTATTTCTGTTTATTTAGGTTTCACACGCATGTGTTATTTAGTTACTGTAGTTATTTGCATGTACGTTTTTATATTTATTATAGTTATTTGCATGGACGTTTTTCACCGGCCAAAATAAATTAAGCGAAATATAGGCTCTGCTTTGACATTCGTCCATGCTCTGGTCCCTAATCAGACGAAAGTGCAAGGTATTCCTGTACATAGTTCAATAACCTTTCCATGGGTCTACCAAAGGCTGATTGATGCCAGGGTCCAGTCAAATGATGGCTCCCTATTGATAAACCATGTTATGTATGTTGATAATATGGTAATTGCTGCTCACTTTGAGAATACATTAGAGGGTCTGCTGCTATACCTGGATCATGCCGTAAAGAGGTGGGGCCTTACCACCAGCCCCACCAAAACAAAGCACCTTCCTGGGTATTTTGTGTCATCAAACACTCCCATCGCCTCAACTCCCCATTAGTGATGGGCCAGTTGAGTAGACAGTGAAGACGTTTCCGTGCCTGGGTAGTGTAGTTCTGGCAGGTATCTGTCATGTATTTTAATATTTGATTTGTCTACAGTATGTTTGAATTGTTATATACAATGACAAGCCAACCCTATTGTCGAAATTCTTAGGCAAATCGGCTGTTGTGTGTGTGTGTGAAGGCTCCGAGACCACTGATGTGGAGTGCGCGCCGTGCAGCCCTGGAACGTTTTCTGCTGGTGGGAACTCCCGGTGCAAACCTCACACCAAGTACGGTGCTCCAACAGCCCTCGCTCCCGCGTGCCCCCCAGGGCAGTCACGTCGAGAGGGCGCCGCGGCCACCGCCCCAATGGCCCTACAGCTTTCCTTGTTACACCACCGGCCTGTTCTTCAAGGGCCACGCTAGCAGTCTCCTGCTCGCCAGCTTTAAGTCTCCCCCTTTTCGCAGTCGATTGTTCCTGCAGTATCCTGCCATCTGCTTCTTGACATCTACGGTTGACACATGCATGAAAGATACAGATTTCTACGTATACGACGTTTAAACACAATGGCGTGTCAACAGAACACATACACGAGGTTCACCGTGGAGAAAGACAGAAGTGGGATTTGAAGTCGGTTGCATGCTCTCATCGTTTACAAGTCCAGACATTGCTCTGATCGTTGTTACGTAAGATGGCGAAACGTATTTTTGAGAACTATTCAACCCCCACGCGTGATGTTTGGATGTTATAGCTGTCGAATGTTTATCTTGCATATTAATGCACATTTATTGGCTCTATAATAAATTGGGAGGAATGCTTGTGTAGTGGGTTGCGCACTGCACTTCAAATCCGGTGACCTGAGTTTGATTCCTGGTCGTGACTAACGTCAGTGGCGAGTGATATCTGAACCGGTCCTGGACTGCCCGCTCACAAACCTGCACTTACCAGCGTGGTTAAATATAGCCGAACATAACCTCATGAACAACACAATGTGGGAATGCCTTCATCGAGCAGTGGGTTGACAGAGAGCTGTAAATTATTAGTTTATAATCGATGATGATGACAATGTTGATTATGATGATGATGGTCTACCTCTATTCCTCCACTAATTGAAAGTTTCCCTATATTATGGATTCACCTTTCCAGTTGCTCATCAGAGGGCCAGCTCTTGGTTCTGGAAGGATCGGCTGTGAGTGACGTACGCTGCATGGTGATTCCCAAGACCCTGCCTCCCGAGCCTTCAGGTAGACACAGAACACTCCGTGTCTCCTTCAGCTCCTTCTTCATTGCTAACAGCAGTTGCTCTTGCACGAGAGTTAAAAAGATTCCAGTGCAGAGCTCATTCGGTACGTGCACCATGCAGTGGCGTAGCTAGGATATTTTGCGCCCGGGGACGAACTATAAAATTGGCGCCCCCCCCGTTTAATCACATACCAAAATGTAATTACATGACATGTAGGCTGTGTGTGGCAGGATATATAAACTTTTAGGTTGAGGTGTAGATTTGTGCAGTAGTTTCAGGCTGCCGCGCCCGCCGCAATAAGTTATAATGTAACGTTGTAAGCCTCATTTTGGCGCCCCTTTACCTTGGTGCCCAGGGACATATGTACCCCCCTGCCCCCGTCCCCCCCCCTAGCTACGCCTCTAAGCACCATGACGTTGTCACGTTCATGAAAGGCCCCACATTGTGGATTATAACTGTGGGTTCATGTTCACGTGAGAATGTGGACATCATTTTGGGGAGCGGTTGTGTTGCGGTTCGTGCGCCACGCTTCGGACCCGGCAACCCAAGTATGATTCCCACTCATGGCCAATACCAGTGACGATTATTTTAACTGGTTCTGGGCCTCCCCTAGGTCGATTCAACCTAAAATGAGTACCTAGTGTGGTGTGTAAACATCGCCACTAGGGAGACAAAAGCAAACGGGCATGGTTTTTGCCACCCACCCCCTCGTGTCTCATCTCGGCCTTCATAGGTGCTCGTTCACAGCAATTGCCCCAACAGTCTGTTAAGGCTATACGGGGATCTTTGTCTTTGTTTATAATATTGTGTGTTTTTGTGTGTATAGTATTGTGTATGTGTGAATGTGTTTCTGTTTGTATAGGATTGTGTATGTGTGTTGTGCAGCCCCGTTGATGCAGAACACAATAATCATTGCCGTGTGCACGGGAGCAGTAATCCTGAGCATTGTGAGCTTTGCGATGGTGGTGATGCTGATGGTGCGTCAGAGGAACCGGCCGGAGAGCCAGTGCAGTCGCCTGGAGGCAGCGGGTGAGATGCTTCCACTCTGACAAAGGCCTTGACATTCCATGAGGCTTTCCTGACACAGGAGAACTCTTTCTTATCTGCGGTCCTCTTACCCGCAACTCCTATTATCCATGGGAGCTGTATGGTCTGTGCAAACTCCGTAATCCGTGGCCCTATTATTCACGCGTGTAATTCACAATAGTGGGCATTCCTCAGGTTACGAAGATAATTCGTTCCTGAGACCCATTCATAAGTCGAACGGCTCGTAAGTAGGAACAGAATAATGTACTGTATTTAAATGTCCACGGGTCAGTGTTATTAAATCCATTTCAGTTCAACCAAAACTCCTTTAAAAAAGTTTTTTTAAAACAACGGCTTTATTTTAAAGTGCACAAAAAAGTAAATAACTCGATTGGACAACGGGAAGTGGACAACATCTTGATTACAAGAGACACGCGGCACCTGCTTTTTGTGCGAGCAGATTCCACAGTTTAGGGACCGCGGCGTTTTTCACCTATACAAATTTCTAATTAATATGCCGTCCATTAAATTGGTTTATTTGTTTGAAAGGAGGCAATTAATTGATGAATCGATGCCGATTTTATTACAGGCATGCATTGTCATCGGATCTGAGTACGTGTGCAAAATTTGGAATCGATTGGACTACAGGAAGTAGACTACATTTTTATTACAAGATTTGACCACAACACAGGAGTCAAGTTAAGTAAAACCATACTCTTTGCTTCTTTCCTTTTTTCAACGGTTTTACGTACTCTTGATTTTTTAAGCTTTCGTGACTGCAGGAATCCATACTCTTTGGTTCTTTCGGTAAAGAGTATGGATTCCTGCAGTCACGAAAGCTTCAAATCAAGATTAAGTAAAACCGTTGAAAAAAGGGATGAACCAAAGAGTATGGTTTTACTTAACTTGACTCCTGTGTCGTGGTCAAATCTTGTAATAAAAATGTAGTCTAGTTCCTGTTGTCCAAGGCTGACCTATTGTCGAACGTGGTGGTATTTGGATACAGCATCCATCTTGTTTTTCTCTTATAGTAACCGCCTGTGCACACGTGCTGTGTTAGCAGAGAGTGGCTCCCAGCGTGCCTCCAAGCAGAAAGCAGCGCATGGGCGCCCGGACCCTCAAGGCGGTGATGGCTCGAACACCGAGGACCGTTGCTCGATGCTGGAAGCGGATCGGAACCAGCTCTCCCTGCTGTCCCAGGTTCCCGTCCATGGCTCCTCGATATCCATCGCCAAGTCGTCTCGCTATCCGCTGAAGGAAAGTGACGCGGTGTTGGAGTCAAGCAACCCGGAATGTCTGCAAAGCCTCCCCTGCCAAGACTCGGGCAGGCAGGGCCAATTCTGAGACGTGGAGACCTACACTATGGTTGCAACACCCGCACCAAAAGCTTTAGTTTCGTATAATATGTATTATGTATTTGTAGAAAGTACATGGAAATAGTGTTTTTTGTATATGGTGGGATACCATCAGAACAGACTCTGGAAGTCAAACAACTGGTCTGGTAGAGTCGCGGGATGTGGCAGAGGGTATAAATGGTAAATGAGGTGTGGTGGCATTGTGGCAGATCTAAGGGGAGGGGATGGGGGAGATTTCAACCTCCCCTTGAGACTTCAAAACTTTGTATTCCATTGATATTTACTTGTCAAATGTGTTCAAATTTTTTTTGTTAATATAGCACACTATTATTTTGGGATTACCAGGCCCTTGGGAAGTTTATAGATCTGGCTGATTGGCATCAACCGTTGTGGCCTTGATGACATCTTCATGTTCAGAATGTGTCCAGCAAAGCTCTTTTTCCCTTGAAGATGGAAATTAAGGGGAGAGTGTTTTACACGTATAAGTTTTGATATTTATTAAACATATTGTTAAATGGTATGTGTTTAATATTTATGTTAAATCATTAATAGGATAGGGATTTCTGGTGACGTCATGGCTGAGTGAGCAGCACTGAGACCTCTCTGGCCCCTACTATAAAAAACAACCCTGTTCAATACATCGCTTTTTTCTCGTTAGCTGGTTTCTTTCTTTCTTTGCTCGAGGAGCTTAGAGGAAGTCTTTGTTGCTTGTTATTTTTTGCCTTTGATGTGAATTCCAGCAAAACACCTCTTATCCAAGTGCCCATTATCCGTGCTTGCTTTTGTTTGTTCACTAAAAGCGATGGCCACACCTTATATATGCACTACATTGTTCCTGTAGTCCATGCCACTCGGTGGAAAGAGAAAGTGACGCAACATTCTTGTTTTTAGAGTGGTGGCATAAACTAGTCACCTAAAAGTGTTTTCCCAAAAAAGACCTTGACCGAGAAGTGGCAGCAAATTCATCCTGGTTCATTAAATTCATCATTAATATCCATCGAATTCCTCCTTTCCCTGTTAAATTCACCCTTATTCGTCAAAATGCAGCCTCATTATCCGTCAAATTCATCCTTATCCAAGTAGAAGTAAACTGCATGGATAAACACGGATACCAGGACTACCCAAAGCCCTCTCCACCCCACCCCCATCAAATCAGATAAGTGGAGGTTAACTATATCTGCAGTTTTTTACAGTTTTAAATTATCTTGTATGTTCTATGGGAACCTCATTTGCCAGTAAAAATATGATAATTGGTTTTTTACCCTTCTATCTGGCAACAAAACTGACACCTTTTTACAAGGAGTCAGGTTTGTATAGACCGCAATACCTGCAGTCATAATACAAACAAAAAGACATAACTCTGATAATGTGCACTGTCCTTGAAGTTGATTGGTCCACACCCGAGACAGCTTTCCTTAGAGCCTAGTCTCACATGGGTTGGACCAGATGACGCCAAAAGGCGCCTTTTAGCGTCATCTGGTCCAACCCATGTGAGACTAGGCTCTAAGGAAAGCTGTCTCGGGTGTGGACCAATCAACTTCAAGGACAGTGCACATTATCAGAGTTATGTCTTTTTTTGTATTATGACTGCAGGTATTGCGGTCTATACAAACATGACTCCTTGTAAAAAGGTGTCAGTTTTGTTGCCAGATAGAAGGGTAAAAAACCAATTATCATATCTTGTATGTTTCCTGAAAACTCGATCAATCGTAAAAATCCAGAAAAACCTGTATAAATAAAATAAAAACACAATGATATCACACAAAATCCAAAAAGGATTGTGTGAAAACTCACATTCCGCAGACCTGACTCCTTGTGCCTCTCGCATGCTTCCACAACCAAGAAATCCCTTGTGGATAAAGCTAATGGCTAATGGCAATTAAGTGATGTATGCTTATCAACTGGCAAGAGAGTCCTTCCAGACACTGAATACTGAATTAATAACAAATGAGTACATTTGGGAATCGCACCATTTCTAAAGCGCAAGGCTGTCACAAAGGTTCTGTGTTTCACAGACACGGTATACAGTAGTTTCAGAGTAGGGGGCAATACAATATGTAATCCTAATTGAGTAATTTGCGGTGTAATTTTTCAAAGTTGAAAAATTTGGACCAGGACTGACACAATGTCCTACTCTTGTGAAGGACACAACGGGATCTTCAACACCCATTGTGAAGCCGATAGCGCAGTTCTTATGTGGATAATTATTAATGGAAGCAGCCTACCAGATATGAACAACGAACCTCTGCAATAAGTGGTGAACTTGCTACTCCTGGCCCGTGTCACCACCGTCCGAGCTTGGAGCATCCATGGGGCAGGTGTATGGCATAGAAATATAAATTTTACGTCTTTAATCATGACACAGATTTGTGATGCCCCTATGTGAGAGATTTTTAGTTGGTGTGTTTTTTGTTTTCTTTTAGGTGGCAGTAGCACGTGTTGTTGATTTTTACAGATATTAGAATCGGCTCTTATTTGTGGGGTTTCTCTTTGAACTTCGGATTTAACAGTATCAAAAAATCAGCCAAAAATCCCATTGCAGGATATTTTTTCTGGATAGATAAAGGATCTATTTCCCCAAATAGTTCTTAACAAGCAAGTATCATACTGTAAAAAAGGTTTGGCTGGCTTACTGGAGGGAGGGAGGGAGGGACGAACGGACGGTCACATCGAAAGTACATGCAGCTTCTTGGTTCTTTCGGTAAAGTCACGTAGAAGGAAAATAATAAAATAATAAAAATAAAACATAATAAAATAATTCTCACGACGTTTCGGCCACAACGCAAACAGCCGTCTTCAGGTGGAGAACAGGTCTGTCGAGAAGGCAGAGTCTGAATGGCACGCCCCAGGCTTGGAGCGACTATTTATGCTGGGATGGAGGGGCGAAGAACGTCTTGACAAAATAATTTGCATATCAAGAGGAATTTAGCATATTTATGGGAAATGCAGATATGCGATTAGTACTACTTGTGAAATGCGTAGGAGGTTTGGCGAGGGGTTTAAAGTCATTATGCCCATGCATTATGCAGGATTAGCAGTATCAAAGGGAGGGAGTAAGGTTAGAATTAATAAAGGGAAGCAATGTTAATAATATGGCGCCGCAGCAACTAATATGCTTATAGACTTGTAATAAAGGACTCCTTCACAAGATGTCGCTCTCCGTTGGTCCTTTATTGGGTTCTTTCCTCGCACCCACTGGTCCTCGCTCCGACCCTCGCCGTGCGCCCCGCGCACGCTCCGTGTGGCTCTCTCTCTCTCGCCGTGCGCCCCGCGCACGCTCCGTGTGACTCTCGCCGTGCCGTCTCCTCCGGCCCCTCCGTGTGCTCTCTCCTCACCCGCCTGGGCCACACCGCCCTTCGGTTACCCCGCACACGCTGCTGGCTCTCTCTCTCTCCGTGCGGTCCCACACGCTCCGCTGCCCACGCGCGCTGGATCCCAGTACGCCTATCGGCCCCGACCACGTGGCAATGGCGCCACTTCTCCCTCCACCGCCAGCGTGGCTTCCTCCGTCGTTCACTCTCTTCTCTCCCCTGCTCCTCCTCCGTCTCTCTCCTTATATCCCCTCTCTCACGTGACCCAACTCCACCTTCTCATCCCGCCCCTGTCGCCGCCCCCACTCACCCCAACGACCAGGCTCCGCCCTTCCAATACACCGGCCCGTGTGAGTGGTGCGGAGGCAGCGCCCACCCTGTCCTTGCTCACATTACACTACCCCCCCTGATGAAAAAGCCAGTCGTCCTCGGCTGCAACAGAACAACAATAATGCGAGCAACACATGACACACCGGCATGAGAAGACAACGGAGAGAAGAAGAATAACAATTAACGAAAGAGAAGGGATTTCGAACGCGTGCGAGTCGCCGGACTGTCCTGCACGGGGTTGCCCCCCCGTGCGGACCGTGGCCTCGACGGGGTTTTAGGAGCGGCGGGACTGGAACCGCCCGCCGCTGTTGGAGGCCCGTCACTCCCAGCGTCCCGTTCCCCAAAGAGGCCCGTCATCGAGCCCTCCCGCAACTGCGCCCGAGGTGGGGTTGTAGGGGCAGCGGGGTCAAGTGTCCCCGTCGCCGTGGTAGGCCCACCCGGAGCAGGAATCACCATGTCTGGCAGGATCACCGCCGGTCCGTCTACAGGAGGCACGACAGGCACGCTTGTAGGTTGAACAGGCAAAGTCAATGGCGCGTGGGTCGCGACAGACACCGGCAAGGCAACATTAGGAGATGACGCATCCGTCCGCGGGGCCACTTAGGGTTTCAATCGGGACGTATGCACGTACCAACGCCGCGATCCGAAGCCGAACACGCGTGGACTGCGAACTAGGAACCTCAATAAGCACCACCGGCCCCTGCCACGGCCTATGTAACTTAGGGGAGGTCCCCACCAGTACCTGCGGGCAGTGCAGCCAGGCCATGTCCCCCACCCGCCAGGGGGACTCACCATGCGAGCGTCGTGCACAACGTTCGTTCCGGGCCTGGGTCTTGGCAGTAGCCAATTGGGCCCCCTCCCGCGCCTCAGCCACGCCACGAACGGTGTCCCGAATATAATCGGGGAGAGGCTTAAGAGGACCCTTCACCCCCATGCCCAGCTGCACGTCCACCGGCGGCACGTTCTCGCGGCCGTACATCAAAAAGAAAGGCGAGTACCCTGTCGACGCATGTGGCGTCATCCGGTACGCGGAGAGCACCCCAGGGATATGCAAATCCTAATCAGCCTGCTTTTCGCTAACCGTATGACAGAGCATCGCCGATAGGGTCCGATTAAGACGTTCAACCATCCCATCCGTCTGCGGATTGCAGGGAGACGTCCGTACCTTCTTGGTCCCCAGTGCAGCGCACACCTCAGCCAATAATTTAGAAGAAAAATTTCGCCCTTGGTCCGTAAGCAACCTTTCCGGTACCCCTTTGTCTATCAGATATCCGAACAGGAACGCCTCCATGATAGACGCCGCTGACTGATCGGCTAGGGGCCAGGCCAGCGGGAAAGATATTCCACACCAACCAATAAAAATTTGTTACCCCGAGCGGATGGCGGAAAGGGCCCCAAAATATCCAACGCCACCAATTCATTAATCCGTGACACCTGTATGGACTGCACTGGCGGAACATATGGGTGTTTAGGCGGTTTCCGTCGGGCACAGTCGGAGCACGCCCGAATGTGCCTGACGACATCAGTCGTCATGCCGTGCCAAAAATAATCCCGCTGTAACGTCAACAAGGTTTTCTGCACTCCGAGATGTAATAACTTCTCGGAATGCAGAATCCAAATCAATTCATATCGCAGCGACACCGGCACAACAAGCCGCCAGCGATCGTGCAAACCTTCCCTCCACATCAGCAAGCCATCCCGGAGAGCAGCTCCCGGCATCCCATCGGATAGCGGGCCACCCCTTACCTTCGCAGCCCGAGCCGGCAAGGCCCCCAGTGAGTCATCAAGCAATTGTTCGCGAACCCATACCGAACGTGGCAAATTCAAAACCCCATCAGCCGGCTCTGGACACGCAGGAGCCTCAGGCACCTCCACAGCGGACATAACTGTCCGAGGTGGCAGCGGAACCCGCGTGGCACCTATTTGTGCCCGAAGTGCAAGCGCACGAGGACCCCTGCGGCAATCTAGAAAGCGCGTCCGCGTTCGCGTGATGCGATCCCTTCCGGTACTGAATTTCAAATGAAAACTCCTGCAGGGTTTCCAACCATCGTGCCAATTGGCCAGACGTTTGATCAACCCTCAGGGCATATTGCAGAGCAGCATGATCCGTGCGCACAATAAATGTACGGCCGTATAGATACGGCCGGTATTGGCGAAGAAAATGTACTATGGCCAAGAGTTCCCGACGAGTAACGCAGTAGCGGGTCTCCGCCGGAGACAGCACGCGGCTTCCATAAGCCACTACGCATTCGACGCCGTCCCTAGATTGGGACAGAATGGCCCCAATCCCCGTGTCACTCGCGTCAGTATCGAGGATAAATGGCCAAGTAAAATCCGGAGTGTCCAGCGTCGGTGCCGATGCCAACCGATCGCGTAGGCTCTGAAATGCTGCCTCCTCCGCCGGTCCCCAACTAAACCTCCGGCCCTTTGCCGTAAGGAGGTGTAAAGGCCTCGTGATCGTGGCAAAGTCAGGCACGAACCTGCGGTAATAAGAAGCGAACCCGACGAACCGACGCACGTCCCCCACTAAGGCCGGAGTCGGCCAATTCCGGACGCACGCCGTCTTCTCCGGGTCAGTGGCCACCTCGTCCGAGCTGACTTTGTGGCCCAAATA